AAAAAAAAAAAAAAAAAAGCAAAAAAAAAAAAAAACCAGTTTTTCTAGAAGGTAAACTTTTAACTCAACTGGAATCTAGCTTAGTTGTATATGCACTTTAAGGTGGCTCTTTTACTGCGGTTTTCGATATTGTGAACTTAGACATTTCAACCGACTTATTGTGACATTGGTTTTTCACTGCCACCAGTCAAGAACATGAAAGGTACCGACTGATCATTTTTGATTGACGGCAGCGGAAAACGAAATTTCAGGGTTGAGCTCGCAAAATATGGAAACCAGGTTTTTGTATTAACTAATATTCTAATAATTCGGTCAATAATCTAATTCAGGGGTCAATTTGAGGTTTTATATGACTCTATCCATGATCCGGCACCAGGTGATTTGACTATGTGCGCAAAGAGGATTTCATGATCGAACAAAAGAATCAATCCCATCAATCAACACACGCTCAATGCCTTCGGGTTTCGTTGCGACCATCTTGAAAAGAAGCTAAATGTGTTTCACTTTCTCGCAAATAAACCTCTTGTTGAGAACGGGACTCCATAACAAATGAGAATTGAATTTTGTGTTAATTCAATCATCAGCGTTTATTATGAATAACACACTATCACAATAGTTAGAAAGACAAATGTTATGAATACATTGTACTGCCACGTACAATAAAACTTTGCCGAATAGACCTATAACGAATTCGCTTGGATGACCACGAAACAATGGTTTGAAGTCGAGACTTTTATTCTTTTGTTCATCAAGTTCAACCTCGACTTGAAACCATTCTTTCGTGGTCAGTCAAGCGAATTCGGGAAAGGTCTATTCGTTCGAGTAAACACTAAACAATGACTCGAATTCGAGATTGGACTCCATAAAATACAGCACTTTTATGAACACATCAATTCCACTAGAATGGAGCCATTGCCTGCTGCCTATGTTCACTGTTTGGTATTTACTCCGGGAGCAACTGGGCAGTTCGCACGTCTAGCGTCACATTTCAAATAATCCCTCAAGACCAACAGGTTCTCCACTTTTATTATATTTGATTAGCTCTTTCGAGTCATGATATTTTTGTTGGCCTGGAATTAATATTCTAAATATCGACCAAATAACACTAACTCGCCATTCTGGTAAAGTCTATTACTAGATTTTCGCCTTCATCCTCGGGCTCCTCTTTTTCTTTAGTAACAACAAGGAGCCCTACTACAGACGGAGTAAAATGAAACAAGTCTTTATGATGACTTTACTCGTGCCATCTTGCACTGGAATAAAAAACTAAAACTAAATAAAAAAAGTTGAAACATGCTCATCCCTACTAAAGTCAAATATAGTTCGGCGTGTCCCACTCTCCGTGGGTGGGAGGGTTAGTGTGTGCTTGATGCGTGTGTTTGTTACTTCAGCGTTGGGTGTGTCAATGCTAAGATAATCTTATTCTGTCTTTGCTTGTTTTGCGGGTGGTTCAGCTTCATCGTCAAAATGGATGTGTTTATTAGAAGCCTCAGGCTTTTTCTCGGTTTTATCATCAGACGCGTCTTGGTCATTCTTATTTTCTCTCCAGCTGTAGTTTCCTCTTCCTCGCCCTCTTCCTCTTCCTCGCCCTCGTCCGCCTCCTCGACCACGCTTACCCGATCCGCCTCTCCTGTCTAGATACAATAGAAAAACCGCAATTAGAAGAAAAAAATTTTTTTTACCTGTCAACTTTGCAGACCGGTTTACAAATACCAAAGCAACATGTAAAGTAAAAAATACCGCACAACTTCAACAATACAAACACTTTGAAATTCCATCGACGTTTACTAGTACACACTGTATTTGTTAAGCAAAGCTGAAGCTAACCCTGAGCAACAGAGAATTAAACACTACATCATAAGCGCCTTGCGTGTGACGTCAAAGCAGCTCAATTTGGAGGACATAACAATAGATTTCCAACTATCAGGAGATTGAAATTCTTTCATTTTGTCCTCCAAGTTGAGCTGCTTTGACGTCACATGCAAGGGGTCTATTGATGCCCCATCTCACTTAATAATGACAATGATAATGGTGATGATGATGATGATGATGATAGGTTCTTATATAGCGCATTTATACAACGTCACCTACGGTTTTAAGTCCTTATCCGAGAAGACTTGAAGGTCTAACCATTTGCAGATATCATTACAAAGGCAGCACCTCAGTTTTTTTAAGACCCTCACGCACAACAGATCGACGCTCTTACCAACTGAGCTAACTGGGTGGTAGTCACTAAGAGAGCGTATGTATTTTATACTACCTTCAGCATAATAAAAACTAGTTTAGCACCAAAAGTGTTTCAGTTACCTTGCTTTTTTTGTCTTCGTTGAATTTTCTCCTCTTTTACTTTGACGAAATACTCTTTTTCTTCATCACCTGAAAGAAATGTTAACGAGTTGAAATTTACCCATTATATTCTATCAATCTCCCCTCCTCTTCTGTCTAATAGATTCCCAGCCAAGGAGAGAAAAGGAACTACATCATCAGACTCTATTAAAGCCTTTATGAAAAATAAAATAAAATAAGGTACAATAAAATGGAATGATGATTTACTTCTTATTCGACTGTAATTTTTTTTCTCGTAATATACTTGTAAAACTTCGTAATAAACTTGTAACTAGTGCACAACAACAATTAATAAACTAGATCTACATGTTACGTAATGGAATTGAATGAAATAGAATAGGTTAGAATAGGATAGAATAGGATAGGAAAGAATAGAATAAAATAAAATAAATGAACGAACGAACGAACGAACGAACGAGAGAACGAGATTGCGAAAGTCTAATATCTGACCTTCAAGAACACGAACTTCAGTCTCAGTATCTCGGATAACGATCTTGCCATCGTTGTCTCCCTTGATAGCATCGATAGCCCGTTGGGCTGCTCCTTCTGAAGTAAACCGTACATATCCCTGTGGCGAAATAACAAATATTAAATTGAAATTGAAGTTAAGAAACATTTGTGGGTTTTTACGTGCATTTTTTATCAGAAAAAATAATGAACAGGAATTTTAAAATGTATTGTAAGCAGCATGAACTTCAAATAGTTAGAGTAAAATGTTGCTTAATAGGTTAAAAGTCTGAAAACGAAAAACAAGTTGTACTCGTGCTATAGTCAAGCCCCACTTCATTTCATTAGTGATCAAAGTAGCATGGTGCACAGATGATATTCTGAACAGAAACAAAAAACCAAACATACCTCTGTTTCTCCACGTGCATAATCAACCCAGTCAATCTCTTCATGAGCACCAAACAGTTCCTGTTAGGAAAAAAAGTATGATTGAAATGAACTGGTTGGTTGATAGGCACTGGTAGGTCATTGGTCAAGCCCCGGCTGGACCAAAACTCAGGGTCCTACTGTTACATTAGTGAGGAGAAACTGTTGCCTTCACAATAACATCAGCAAATTGTTAGACTTTGAAGTGGTCAGATGAACTAAGTGTACCAAATGGATGAGGTACATGTATGAGAAGAGGCAGATCCAGAATTTAAAAAGGAGGGTTCCAAAATGGCTGCCACATAGGAAAAGCTGGTATAAGCGGTTTAACAAAGGGGGATTTGAAGTTCATTCTACTGAGGGTAAAGAACATGATTGGCTTCACAAGATCTCAAAAAAGGGGTTCTATTGAACCCATGGCACTACTACTGGATCTGCCATTGACAAGACAAGGTATTAGGGTAGAGATGGAAAGGAATGCAAGACAATTAAAAGCAAACAAGCTAGCATACGGAGGGGGGAGAATGGGGGGCATGTTCCCCCCCCTCCCCCAAAAAAAGTTCTCAGGACCAAAATTTAATCAATTCACGTGTGACTCCTGTGGATTTGGTGGGAAAATGGTACATTGCCCCCCTATAATCAAGACCTCGCTATGCCCCTGTGCAAACATGAAAAAGAAACCTTTACTAGCCTTGAGATCCTCTCTTGAAGTCTGTTCACCAACACCTTTGAAGTGAAGAACACAGCCATTGACGTATTGAACTTCCTCCTACAAAAATAATCAATAAACAATGAACATATTTAACAATATATTGTTTGCTACATTGTACTGTTATTTAAACCTTACCTAGATACTACCAGTAACACCTAATGGACAACACACCTATAAACCAGCTTTTAACTTTCTAACCACAAGCAACCAATGTCTCACCAATGAGTCAACTACACCTGACAAATAAACTATGCTTTTATACTTTTTCAAGCACCCACAAAGCAGCTTCACTGCACTCTCCCACCACATAAACAAATGGTCAATAAGCTGCCCAAACCCTAATGACAACCAACAAAATATCCCGTAGACCGACACACTAGGGTTATATAGTACATTCATTCCAGGGCTAAAAATAACGGCTGGTGATCAGTTGCTGGCCATGTTAAACAACCAAATTAGTTTTAGCTCATTCATACCTGGTTTCTGGCTCAAGTTACTGTTCGAAATGACTGGCAAAGCAACGATTTGATTGGACTACAAGTTACAATAGACCTCTTTACCTTCGTTGTTTGTTGTACACATTTCAGACCATGTAATGCCACTCTTGGGAGTTGATTATTTCATATGTAAATATTTTAACATGCTCATCACAAAAGAACAATTCTCAGGGGAATGTCATGTGGTCTTAAATGGGCAATTTGCATAAGGGGATACAATGTAAAGAGGGCTATTCTGGCTGTGCATTGTCCAATGACTGGCCATTATTTTAGCCCTGAATTTGTTGTTATCTTGGTCATTTTATTTTGAAAGGAAAAATAGGCATTTCACATAAAATACATACCTCGTCTTCCTTTTCACCTTCTTTCTCCTTTTCTGCTCTTTCCCTAAAGATAATGTAGTTATAAATAAAGATTTATACCCCATTCACACCAAGGCTTAAACATGTTTTAAAGTGGTTTAACGAAACAGGTTTGAAAAACTATCTATGAACACTGCACAATATTTGGTTAAATAAGGCATGTAAGCTATCCTTTGTCTTGCTCTGATAATATTTTAGAAAGTTTCATTATACATGTATTGTAGGTTTCTAGTTTCTCAATTTTCGCATTTCAAAATACTTCAAGTTATAGACTTGAATGGTTTTTTGAAGAAAAATGTTTTTAATATCAAAATTTGTGGTCTTAAATTAGTGAAATTCACTAGCCAAAATAAAATTTCACTCTAGACAAGTACAGTATTACAGTGCTACTATACTATAACAAGGGCCATTTAGACAGTGAGATCCAATCAAATCGTAGAACGAAAACAATCCAATCCAATTTCGGGTGGAGCCAAATTATTAATTTCTGCTGATTTCTCTCTCTTTGTCTTTGTAAGATAGTAGTTTTTTTGGTTGACAACATCATTATGAATCAGGATCACAAAGTCAAATGATATTGATAACTTGTTTAATATGGCTTATCTCATACTCCTTTTTCTTCTTCTCTTGGTCTTTCTGTTGAGCTCTTTCATCATTTTTCTTTTTGTAATAGTCATCTCTGAAAAAAATCATTTAATTAAACAAACTATTTAATATTTTTTCAAAATTTCCAATTTCAATGCTACACCATCTAACAATGTATGTGATAAAATATACTGAGTAGAGTGCATGCCATATTTCTTTGAAAAAGTTAACTAACAAAATTGTATGAATTAGTGCAAAATTTTGTAGGTTTAAGGTCTACTGAGGTCTACTGAATCATGCAATTTCCTACAACGTTTTTCATGGATCTATAGAGGTATGCACTCTAGTATTTTATAATACAAGATATTTTTGGAAAGCTTGTCCAAATTGAGATTGAGGTGGTTTTTTTTGTTGTTGGATGAAGCTAAAAATTGAATAAGAGAATGAAGGAAGGAAGGAAGGAAGGAAGATAGGGAGGGAGGGAGGGAAAGAGGGAACTTAGGAGGGAGGAAAGGAATGTATGAATAAATTGAATAAAAAACAAAAGTGAATGACAGACACATACTTAAGCATCTTAATGAGCTCTTGATCCTTGTACTTTAAGTCTTCTGTTCCCAAGACCTTCTTTGCTTCTTCAACAGTAGAAAATTCAACAAAGACTGAACCCTTAAATTCCTTGGACTGAAACAACTTTCTCATCATGATGTACACAACCTAGCAAAATTAAAAAAAGTACACCAATAAGTAACATATTTTCCGGTCGGGACACACTTAGATTTAGTCATCTTTCAACCAATGAGAGTGTTTGCTATATCTGCAAAATCTGTAGCTATATAACAATAGATAATACGAAACAAAACAGCAATAATTTTTGATAACCATTATAGTAAATGGCCACTACTACAGTTTGAAAAACAAACTTTTCTCTCCTTTGAGCCAATCAAAACTGCTTGCAGTACCTTTCCAAATTGACCGAAGAACTCTTCCAACTCATCCAGGGTTGTCTCTTTGGGAAACCCTTTCTGTAATTAAAAATATTATTAAGAATGCATATTCCAGTAAAATTAATCATAAAACCATTAATATAGTAGTGCAGTTTTCGTATCACTGTGAAAAGCTCAGTGCCGTAAGCGTGACGTGCCGTAAGCGTGACGTGCCGTGATACTTTCTAGAATCTTAATATGCTGATTTTTTTCATGTGCAATATGATTGGTCTAAAACTGCTATGATCTTGGCGTGACCGTGTCCGCGCTGTGTTCATGCCGTGTTCCGGGTATTTGATTGAATGGATGGAGAGTAAATTCTCGTGCAATGTGATTGGTCTGGCGTATCCTTTGCTGTGTCACGACCGTATTCGTGCCGTGAACTTTTCACAGTCATACGAAAACTGCAATATACTGAACTAAGGCTGCTTCAGATATGAGGGCTTAGTTCATACAGTGCCAGCACTCACAAGTTTACTTTAGGATTAACTGGAATAGGTGAGTGTACTGCACTGATATATGCCAGGATCTCTAAAGATGAAACAAGTATGTGTGTGTATTGGTGATCACCCTAACTATGAACGAGACCTCGCTATTCCCCTGATGTGAGTAGATTAACCTTAGTTGGCTTGATCCAGAGCTTAAATAACAGCCAACCAGAACTGGTACTTGTCCCATCAAATCTTTGCCTTACCCGTTATTTTGACCAGTAACGTTAAGCCAGAAATCTGTTAAGACGTAAGTTAAAACTAAGTTGGCCTTTGATCATGATCAGCAACTGATCAGCTGTTGTTTTAAGCCTTGGACAGCAGCTGTGCTTCAGCTGTGCTGTTTTCTTCAGTTTCTCTGATTTTATTTATACTTTCTTAGCAACTGCTATAACTGAACTATGCTGCAAGTGTCTCTAAAATTGACTCTGCTCATACTTGTGCCCTAATTTCTTTATGAAAAGCACACAACAAGTATGGATTTCATAATTTTTCAACTATAAAATACCCTTTAGAAAATACTTACACAATAAATAGTCTTGGCTTTGGCATCTCGTTTTTCTTCGACTGTGTTTCCTGGTAAAGGAACTGACTTCAGCCTTCTGACTTTTTTATCATCATCACTAACCTGAGTAAAACAAAATCAGGATACAGTTTTTTTTACAGAAAACATATAACAAAATTAATACACTCCATAACTCATTAAAAAAAGTAAAATTAAAAGAAAAAGAATAAGATGATTCTTCAGATAATCTTATTCAAATGCAATAATAAAAGAATAACACTGTAATTGGTGAAATCTAAAATTGATTTCTTGACTCAGTATCATGTTAGTAAAGTTTTTATTTAAAATTTATTTATTTTATTTTATTGATTTCGTCACCAAGGAAAATTCACACATTATTCCTAAGTGAAATTACAAACAGTACAGCAGACAAAAAGAGAAGAAAAAAAAAGAAAGGAAGAAAAGACGAGCATATGACAGGAGGGGGTAACAGGACAGAATCCCAATTGACAACCGGCCACTTGCAGTAAAAGAAGTAAAAAATTGAAAAGTAGGGACAAAAGTATAAACGAGTAGTCATTTACGGGCGGAAGGTATGACAGAAGTTTATAGATAGTGTAATAATTTGTTGGATCTCTCTCAGAAATGTCTAAGACTTAGAAGCCCTACTTCTCTACTGAGAGTATTTCTAAATCTTACCTCTAATAACTGGCTTTTTGATTTTTTCACAGAGTTAGCAAGGGTTTCTTCATTGACTGACAAAGCCTTAAAAAGTCATAATAAAATCAAAATGTGAAAAAAGGGACTCCATGATCACTGATACTTAATGTTAGTCGATGGGGAAGCACAGGTAGCATAGCAGTGAGAGAGCTTGCCTCTCACCAAGCCTACCCAGGTTCAATTCTTGCCTAATAGGCATAATGCATATGTCAGCATAATGTCATACGTAAAATGAGTTGTTTGTTGGTTCTCTCCTGTGCTTTGAGGGTTTTTCCTCAGAGTTCTCCAGTTTTTCCTCCCTCCAYGAAATATTGACTTGATATGTCAAAAAATATGCCCAAGTACCCAAGCTAGACCACAATGCATCATTTTCAGTACCCAAGAAGATGTCCATTGCTGAGTTTCACCAGAAAATCATTAAAATTATGCCATGAATAACTCCTTTTCCCAGCGAGTTTTGYTTATGCGGTCAAAATTGTGCTGCATTTGTCAAGCTCAATGATATTATACATAATATTATTTAGATGTTCATTTTATCCATGCTGGTCGACAGTTTCTCCGTCCCCCCAGTACTTTCACTGGATATGAAACTCTGCAATCGAATGGTCTCAAAGAGCAAATTTATGATGTTTTGCCCTTCAGCTATGGCTGCCATAAAACCTGTGCCTATCATGATCATATGAATACAAATTAAACTGCAATTCAATAGTTTTTAAAGAGATAATGAAACACTCACCTTCAACCGACTAAATGTTTGCAAACACTCAAATGTTATCCCTTAGTATCGAAATATATATGTCAAGGAGAAAGTCAACCCTTTGATAACATTAATTGTAGTATTAGACTTCAAGCACCATAAGATTACAAGTTATATTACATTTCCCATGCATGTACTAAATTAAGATTAAATAAAGTTTGGGTAATTCAATTATAAAGCATTTATAATACGAGAACAACTAGGCAAACATGTGCTTTCATAAAAAAGGATACAGCCATCGTCGTCTTCAGCCTTTAGTCGAAGAAACTTATCCCGAGGATAGTTTTTGTTTCCAAAATAAAACTGAAGTTTGGAGAAAAGAAGCATTAGTTGTCTATGTTTCGCCCTCAGTCCAGAGGTTTACTTTGCTTGTAGTTGCACAAAGACAGCATACTTTTAAGACAGCTATTCTTAAAGTCCTTGTGTACTAAATTCTGAAGGAAAAGAGAGTTTCAAGGGAGCTTTTGGTGGTTATACCTCCATTTGTTTGACAATCTTCTTTTCAACTTCAGTCAAACTGCCTTCTTCGCTACTGCTTCCGTTTTTGTTCGTGGAGGAATCGTCGACTGCAGCCATCTTTAAAGTACCGGTTATTGAATTATACGAGGAGAACCACAATGAAGAGGGTTAATGAAGACTAAAGGATGGTCTAGACGTGTTCTGGAGGAGATTTGAGAATGATATTTGGACACAGAAAACACGACTAGAAGAACAGCACGTGCAGGAATACTGGAAGAGAAGGTAGGTACTTCATGTATGGGGACACCAAATGTCCCGGAGTAGTACCTATACCATGTACGTGTGGTGCACGTATAATACCCCTAATGTCTGTAGTACCAGTAGTACCAGTAGTACCTGTAGTACCTGTAGTACCAGTAGTACCTGTAGTACCTGTAGTACCTGTAGTACCTGTAGTACCTGTAGTACCTGTAGTACCTGTAGTACCTGTAGTACCTGTAGTACCTGTAGTACGTGTAGTACCTGTAGTACGTGTAGTACCTGTAGTACCTGTAGTACCTGTAGTACCTGTAGTATCTGTAGTACCTGTAGTACCTGTAGTACGTGTAGTACGTGTAGTAGGTGTAGTAGGTGTAGTACCTGTAGTAGGTGTAGTACCTGTAGTACCTGTAGTACCTGTAGTACCTGTAGTACGTGTAGTACGTGTAGTACGTGTAGTACGTGTAGTACGTGTAGTAGGTGTAGTACGTGTAGTACCTGTAGTACCTGTAGTACCTGTAGTAGGTGTAGTACCTGTAGTACCTGTAGTACGTGTAGTACGTGTAGTATCTGTAGTACCTGTAGTACCTGTAGTACGTGTAGTACGTGTAGTAGGTGTAGTAGCTGTAGTAGCTGTAGTACCTGTAGTACCTGTAGTACCTGTAGTAKSTGTAGTAGGTGTAGTACCTGTAGTACCTGTAGTACCTGTAGTAGGTGTAGTACCTGTAGTACCTGTAGTACCTGTAGTACCTGTAGTACGTGTAGTACGTGTAGTACGCGTAGTACGTGTAGTACGCGTAGTACGTGTAGTACGCGTAGTACGTGTAGTACGTGTAGTAGGTGTAGTACGTGTAGTATCTGTAGTACCTGTAGTGCGTGTAGTACCTGTAGTAGGTGTAGTACCTGTAGTACCTGTAGTAGATGTAGTACCTGTAGTACCTGTAGTACGTGTAGTACGTGTAGTACCTGTAGTAGGTGTAGTACCTGTAGTAGGTGTAGTACCTGTAGTAC